CCCCAGTGGAGGACGGGAAGGGCCCCCTGGCCACAGAGCACAGTGAGCAATGAGCATCGGTGTCAGGCACTCAGGACTCGCTGCAGTCACGTGTGGACCTGTGGGGTCTTTACAGGCCGTCTTCCCGTCACTCTTAGTCCTTGCAGACATGAACAAGTGAGGTGTGACAGAGCCATCTGATCAACAACCGCAGCCAGGCTGCTTCCCGAGAGCCACGAGGGTCCTCACTGAGAGACCTGCACCTGAGAGGGCCTGAGCGGGTGAGATCATTCTCTTCACGGGATCTTGGACACGGACGCCCACAAGCCAGGCATGAGTTTAAGCCACCGGGCCCGGGACGAGAACCACAGTCGACTACATGGGAGTCCAGCAACGTAGCCATTACACCAACTGGCGGCGCATGTGAGACCAGAGACAGAACCACCTTTCTGCGCTCGGCTCCAGTCGGGTAGTTCGTCCTGCTGTTCACACACCATCCGGACCGGAAAGAATCAAGCCAAGCCACATGGATATGAATGAATTTCTTTGTTTTAATTTCACACAGTTTAAAATACAATATGAAATTAGGCTACAGTATATAAAAACTTCCCAGAAAAATGATGTGCCAGCATCAGCCAGTAAAATAACAAACAAAAATCCCCCTGTAAGAAATATTTTTGCATTTTTTAAAAAAACACAACACTTACATCGCTACATCTCTAAGCTACCTCAGTTCTGATTTTTAAAAAGCACCTGCTTTTCCTTTTTTTTTTTTTATCTTGCTTTTAAATTTTCGGCTTTTAAAAAATATAAATTATATGAAAATACAAGTTGAAAATAGTCAAACACAATATAACATCTTTTCACCCCTGTATTTCTCAGCTTTTTTTAAAAAAAAGTATTCTTAAAAAAAAAGTTCAATAACTGAGGCAGTATTCCTGATAGAGATCATTTCATTTTCATATATATATTTTATATATGCACATGGATACATATATTTGTGGTTCCTTGAAATGTCTTTGGAATGTGGGTCCAAGGTGAACACATTTATATAGACCCCGAAGAGCAAGCGACACGCGCAGCACGGCTGGACGAGAGAGGTTCTCACCGTGAAGGGTAGGCAGGTTAATGCTCGAAAACCCAGAGTGTTCGCCTCCAAAGTGAGGGAAGCACATCTGATCTGTGGGTGCGACCTCCAACCCCATGGCCACAAAATCGGGCCCCCACAGGGAAGGCCCTCCCTCGAACGGAAAAGGGAATGGATGTCACTCTGACCCCGGGAGCCAAAGCCCACACGGGTCAAGGCATCTCCAGAACGAGGAGTCCACCCGCTAGACCAGATCTGCTGTCCCTCCTCTGAAGTTACGATGTGTTTTTAAAAGCATGAATGCAACAATCCTGCTGCATTTCCAGTGTATAAACCACCCACCACTCTTCCTGGGATGATCTCTGGCCTCTGGACACACAGAAAAGGCGTCTGACCAGATCAAAGGAGCGTCTTAACGCACACAAGGTCTGAAGGCCAGACCATGGCGGACCTAGAGAGAAAGGGGAGCTCGGCCAAGCCGCCGAGGACGCCAGGAGGCACTCCTCCCGTCTCATCTGCTACAGGAGCGGCAGGAGCCAGGTGCACAAGAGGGAGCTGCAGCCTCGGTTTCCGAGGAAAAGTCTCCGACTTAAGCGAGTTCATGTCTGGTGCAAAGCTCAAGCAACAGCCAATCGCGGCCTTGGCTCTCCTCTCAAAAACTAAGCGAGACTTAACTAGAAGACCAGGTTCTATTTTAGCTGCGGTCTTTCATGTCTGCACACACACGCACACGCACACACACAAGCACGCACACACACAAGCCCGTGGCAGTGCCCACACCAGATCACGTAATCTAAGAAAACAACGAAGTCCAAGCAGCCCCGCCTAGCGCTCCCTGAGCAGCTCAGTAAGTATGCGGAGAGCTTTGTTAAGGCAAGATGAAATGCACAGCTGAGATCACTCCACCTGCTCAGAGCGAGAACACAGGCGAGACCCGGAGCTGTGTTCCTGATATCCCGGGTTGGCCCGAGGGTCTGGGAGGCTCACCACAAGGTGGGTGTGACTTCCAGGTCCCCAGCTCAACCCCGTCAGGGCCAGCGAGAGGAGCCCACCTGGAATGTTTCTTCTCTATCTCGCCCAAGTCTGCGAGAACGCTGCTCCCAGTCTTCCTCTGACCCAGGCTTTGACCCAGGGTGAGGGCTTATCATTGCTCAAAGCGCTTCTCCTCGCTAGGGAGATGGTTCCCCTTCCAAAGCCCCATTTTCAGATTCTCTCTCACAACTGGCAGACAGGTAACTACCTTCAGCTCACACTCTAGTCTTGTGGGTCCCCTCATCTGCGTCCCTCGAGCTCCTTCCTCTTGTCTCCAAGTCCTCCCTGTCTCCTGCAATGAACCTTCACTTACCCCGTGCCTAGACCCTGGACCCAGGCATGAGGCCTGACCACGGTCTGCTCCTCCCTTTGTATACACGGGCCCGCCTGCCGCCTACCCCATGAGCCTACTCTTCAAAGGAAAGCCCTGATTTCTCTTCCCAAAGACAGCTATGTCACATTTTGCTGAAGTGCTCTCTTAATTTCCATCACGCCTAAGACCCAGAAAGTCTAAGCAACTCGACTTGTGCCTCTGAAGTGAAGCTGCACAACCTTGCTACCAACAGCGGGAGAAAAAGGAGCCGTGAGGGATGCCGGAGGAGCGGACGTCAAAGGGGGATGGAGAGGTGTTAGTTTGGAACGACATGAACTCAGGACTCAGTCCAGAAGCCCTGCAGGTACAGCTTTTATCCGGGTCTCTGTGTTCAGCAGAGCGCTGTTATAAAAAACGAGGCCGGGCTTCCTCTTTCACTTCCTCATGGCGTCAGCAGGGCTGCCATGTTCCGTAGTCAGGGCCGCAAATACATCGGGTTTCCTAGTTCTGCATTCAGTCCCAGCCCCGAGAGCCCACTAGGGCAGAAAGGGAAAGGCTGCGATGACGACGTTAAGGTAGACGACCTTCACACGCAGCCGCCGGGACTTGGTCAGCGCCGGGATTTCCTTCCCATGGGAGTCGCACGCAGCTGGGATCCCTGGTCTCGGTGACAGCACGGTGCTTTTCCAGTGGGGTCTATATAAACAGTCCTTCTCCTGTGTCAGAATCCTCAGCCGGCAAATAAAAACAGACCTGCGAGATACCGCAGTACTGAGACCACCTTAGAGCTCAAGACGATTTTTAAGGAAAAAAAATACTGGCACAAAATTGAATAAAATAAAATGGTAACACAAGACGGCTTGGGCCCTCCCCACTGAAGTGGATCTTAGTCTCGAAAGCAGAGGGAAAGGTGAGTTCTCTGTCTCTAGGACAGCCCCACTGGAACCCTGCATCCCACCCCTTCTTTTATGCCCTCCCAGAACTAAAAGCAAAAGCAAATGAATTGCCTGTCGTCGGTCTCAGGACTCGGTGCGACAACCGCCCTGGCTAGCGGGTCTATAACTCAAGACATGTTTCTCATGGGTGGGGTTTTTAAAAAGAGGCTGGGCACATTAGTCTCTTCCTCCCCTCAGCCAGCTCCTCGGGCTGCTAAGACCCTTCTCTCCCTCCCGACGATTCCCTCCAGAATGCCTGTCCCACCCACCCTCCAGTTTCACCTTCCTACTTCCACGGCGCACCATCGATTACAGCTGCAGCTCACTGAGCTCCCACCCCTGAATGTGAAAAAGAAAAGAGTCTGGAAAATAAAAAGTACAAGAACAACGAAGAGTTCGACCGACGCGGCTGTTCTTCGAAAGGCCTCCCCAGGTCCCGCGCCCCACGCCCATCACTCGTCGGCGTCCGGCTTGACGTCCAGCATGGCGTGGAGCTCCTCCGGGGTGTAGCCCAGTAGGCTCTGCAGGTCGCACACGAAGCGGTACACGTAGCGCTTCCCCGCCGTCTTGTGGATGATGTTCTTGTCGTAATAGTAGCGCAGCCCACGGCTCAGCTTCTCGTAATTCATCTTAGGCTTGTTTTTCCTCTTTCCCCATCTCCTGGCCACCTAAAGGAGGGAGCCAGAGAAGTAAAGAGCTGAAGCGTGGCCACACAGACGCGTCCCACGTCCCACCCCGTCGGGTGGCCCCGGCTGTTCGAGCCAGAAGATTCGCGACTCCTATACGAACACAGGGAATTTTCCTGGACTGTCTTTTCTGAGGTCCATTCTTCAAGGTGGGGCAGGGAGAGGGGTCAGGTTGAGCCTTGACGTGGATGGAAACACAGTGACCCTGAATGCCTACGTGACAGAGCTAAAATGTTTGATTTGGGGAAAGGAAAGCAAGACAGAAAAGCCTGCACTGCCCAGACCCCCCTTCGCACATCTTGGCAGCTGTCCTGGGTTTGGAGGTGATCGTGTGAGCGGGGAGTGGGCAGGCCGCCATGCTGCAGCCACACCTGCCCGTTCCAGCACGACGCTTTTTCCCGTGTCAGGGCACACATATGCCCTCATGCCTGCCAGGACAGAGCCGTGGTCTCTCTTACTCATTGTTTTATCATCAGGATAGCGCATGGCACAGAGTGGCCGCTCAGTAAGCATTTGTGAAAGGAAAGCCTGGGTGAAGGAGCATGTCGTGCCCGTCTCCCAAGGCCTCTCCACCTGCCTGGCCCTGCATTCACAGAGCCCTGAGGCCAAGCCAGACGAGGCGGCTGGATCGCGGGCTCCGTGAGCACGCAGGGAACGGTGATGTCCCTGTCCCAGATGCGGGAGCAGAGGCTCAGTCTGGCTGCACGGCTGGCTCGAGGTCACTCAAGTCCAAGTGCAGAGTGGGACCTCCCGCCCCTCCGCCCAGGCCCACAGGGCCCCTCGCCCAGGGCTCTCTCCGATGCTGCTCGTCCACACAGCGATCCCAAGGTGCTCCCTGCTTACCTCGTCTGGGTCGGAGAGCTTGAATTCCCAGCCGTCTCCTGTCCAGCTGATAAAAGACTGACAGGATTTATCAGTGAGTAATTCCAGAAGAAACTGCCACAGCTGGATGGGGCCGCTGCCTGGAAACACAGCCGTGGTGAGTCATTACGCCCCTCTGCTCAGCAGAGCACCCCGCCCGCCTCTGCCTGCCCCTCTCCTGGAGAAAGTGCCGGCCCACCGAGCACAAACGCCCGGGGAAATGTCCCAGGCTTGAGCAGACGGAGCAGGGAAGGGCTGCTTCCCAAAGCGAAACAGCACGCACGCGGGCAAGGCGACTGCCGTGCCGACTCCGGAGTCGGTCCACGCGTGTGGCCAAGCACACTCGAGGAAGCGGACATGGGTCAGGCTTCTGGACAGTCTACGGCGGCCTCATGTCTCGTGTCTTCTAAAACTACACGGCCCTTCGCCGTAAGAGGTAGGAAAGATGCCGACCGAGGACCGCCCCAGTTCCGATCAGAGGCCTGGGCCCTGGGCGTCCTCTACGCGGGAGCTCTGGCTCTGGTTCGCCACGAGGCTTAGCACCCTCTAGTCCTTTGAGGAGGGAACAGACGTTGGGTCCTTGCAGTCAGGATGTCCCTCTCTACCACCACCCGCGCTCCCAGGCCACTCCCAGGACAACACCGTCCATGTGGGAGGAAACCGGAGACGAGGCAAAGGCAGCCTCCAGAGCTGTTCTCGGCTTCAGCAGCTTCTGACCAACACACTGCTCTCTGTCCTGGCTCCTGGCTTTGCGGGGCGTAGCTCCCGAAGGCCCGGGATGGCAGCCGTTCTCTGGACTCTCTGCAAAGGCTCTGTCCCGCGATTCCCCCCCCCGGGGTCTCTTTCTATTCTGAGGGGACAAAGCCGCCAGGGATCCCTACTGTGTGTATGGGCGTGGCTGCGTGGATAAGTATGGGTTCAAAGTCGCTGCTTCCAAAGTGTCTACACCATTGCCTTACAACACGATCTCATAAACCATCCAGGTAGAGCGGGGCTTGGAAGATAGCAATGAAATCTGATTGTTCGAGCTCAGCTGAGAACACTAGACTTTCTAGGGAGCCAGTCTTCAACCTGAGTTCAGATCTGGTCCAAAGAAAACAGATCCAATAGAAAACAAGGTTTAATTCCTTCTCAGTTTAAAATAGAGCCATCCTTTATGATGGTAAGAGTCAGCTCTGTTATATTCTGGAGTTTTACCAGGCGCGTTTGGCCACCTCATTTCACTTCCCCCGAGACCCCACCTGGCCCTGTGCGTGAGTGAGGCTCAAGTGGTCTCGCTGTTTCCATCCCATGGGGCAGAAAAGGAGCTCAGAGAGATAACGCAGCTTTGCTCCACGGCACAGCCACGAACGGTGTGGCCGGCTCTAGCGCCCGAGCCCCTGGACCCTGCAGGGATGCCATTCACAGAACCTGCTGTTGACCGGCGTTGCCGTTGAGCTGCTAAGGGCCCAGGCCTACATCCGCATGGTGGTTTCCAGGGCCCCACCTCAGCACAGCCCAAGCTAAGCACGGACAATGTGACCGCTCCACTGCACCTTCCCAAGAACTCACCTTTTGCTCCTAAAACACTCTTGTAAGAAACACCTTATACACATTTCAGAGTGAAATGATTCAGCAAATGCCTATCAAAGAAGACAGCCTAGAGGGCGGTGCTGAGAATCCTTAACCTCCTCTGCTTTCTGCTTTTTGTTAAAGCTGTCTCGCACCTAACTTAGACCCACTGCTCGGCGTGTGTGCGTGCGTGCCCAAGTCCTGACGAGATGGAGAAATGAAGTGACCATGCCCATTAGAGCATCCGTCCTCTCTCTCTGTCTCTGTCTCTGGTGAGTGCATGCATCCGCTGGCAACAAAAAATGTACCAGCAAGAGCCCTTGTGACAGGGCAACAGGACCTGCCACAAGAGAAGGGGAGCCCAGAACCCCGAAGCTGTGTGACAAGCCTTTCCTGGACTCGGATGACATGAGAGAGGGGCGGGCAGAGAGCTCTCAGCCCTGACAGGGCAGCAATGACTTCCCGGACACCGACTGCACCTGACGCGGGGGTGATGCTCTAGAGCCATCCCATTCCTCCCTCTGAGAGCTCCGTGGGGTGGTGCTGTCCCCACCACAGTGGGCCTCCACCTCTCTATAGCCGAAGAACCAGACAGAACGGCCATCTGCCTCATGCAGGGCCACCTGGATCAGAAGCGAGTACTCGGGCAGACCCCGGCGGTCGCATGCTCCATCTCAGCACGACATTGCCCTTGGACGGGCCCAAGCCCAAGGGCCGCTCTAAACAGACCACCTGCTGCAGCCCACCAAGGGGCAACCAGCTTCTAAGACCACCTCCTCCTCTTCCTCACTTCACGGCAGCCGCAGGGCACCAGATGGCCGGGGTCCTCCCGACCCTGACCACTAGCAGCCATGGTGCCCAGAGATGGTGCTGCAGACAGTGAGTCAGCCCCCTGGAAGCTCATAAATGACACGCTGGCGATTTCTCCCTTCCTGCTATTTACCTGAGCACCTCCCCCACCTGTTCATCTTGCAGCCTCTTGGACAGAAGGGGATTAATGCCTGAGCTGAGGAAATGGACCGCCAGACCGGGCCCTTCTAGGGAAGTCCTCGTCACTGCCAGAGCAGCAGGCACCTCTGCAGCACATCCTGGGGTGCGGGCGGGCCCAGGAGCACAGCTGCCACCTGCCCTGGCACCTCAGCGGGTAGTGAGGGGGCTTCAGCACATGTGAGGGACCCTCGGACAGATGGCTCACACTTGCCCTTCCCTGAAGTGCTGGTCCCCGTGGAACCATCGAATGGCTGCAGGCTGCACGCACCTGGGTCCAGCCCTGCCCAGGTGTGTCTGACCCCGACTCTGACCCAGGCGTCTGCATGTATGCCAGGGGCAGGGGGAGTCCTCGCCCTCGACTTTCTGTGCTCACTGCAAGCTTTCCTCGGTTTGAAAGGAAGGGAAGAATGTTAAATTCCGACACTGGGACCCAGGTCCTGGGAGCAGCACTGACTGTCTCCCATGTATGCCTAAAAGAAGAAGGGGGCAGGCAGGAAAAGGGGTGCCTAGAGACAGTGCAGGAACCCCAGCAGCAGAAGTATCCCCAGCCAGCTTCCCAGCAGGGCACTTCAGAGAGTTTGTGAAAAATGGAACTAAAGTGCAAGCTTACTTTGGTGCAAGACATTCTGAAATCCACGCAGGCTGTTGACCACGTGCGTTCTCCGTGAGCTTTCTGAAGGCCCGCCTCCAACACAGGACAGTCACCAAAGCGTGACGTCAGCACAGCCCCAGTCCCGGATTTCACAGAGGCAGCCTGCGAGTCCCCCTGCTGACCTGCACATTCCAGAAAGCCCACGCTGCACGGGAGAAGCCTGCGGACCTTCCCTTTGACCTGCACACGGAACGCCCACACCGTACCACAAGAGAAGCCTGTGGGGCCTCTGGAAGCTTCTCTCCGCACCTTTTCACTAACGCCTCAACTGCCTTCTCTTATGGGGGCAACAGATACAGGAAGGGCCCAGAACCTTCACCCAGAAGAAACGCCGGCTAGGGCAGGAGCCTGAGGCGGAGGCTGCTCCACGCCACAGCACAGATGGCTGGACACAGCCCGCTCTGCGCCTCCCCACCCAGCCTGCCCCAGCCACTGCCCAAACAGACTGCGGGCCCAGTGACCTTCGTCCCCGGGAGCAGAGAGTGGTACTAAGAATAGCCGGGCGTGGGAAGGGGGAGCTCACATGCCATGTAGTCACAATGGTGTCCCTGTCCGGGGCAGGCGGTCAACAGCACCCTTCTCCAGGCTGCCCCGTGTCACACGTCAGGAATCCGGTGGCATCACTGAGAAACTATGCTTCTCAAGTCGCGGCTCCGCGCCACAGCAACAGAGGGGCCCTGTTCCCAGGAGGTCTCTTTCCAAAGCCTGCCAGGGGGAGGCACCCACACACACCCACCGCCCCGTCTCGCCGAGCCCCACCCCGCCGTCTGCCCCCCGCCCGTGGCCCTCCCAATGCGCAGGGCATTTCCTCCTCATGCTTTGTTCTTCTCAGCCTCTGGGTGAGAGGGACTCCAGCTGGAGCCCTGCGGGGGGTCCCAGGCCAGCAGGACGCCCTCCTCCAAGGGACCCTCAAGGCCCTCTCACCTATGGCAGTAATCTCAATGTTCTGGCAAGGTAAAGTTTCCAGTAACTTCCTGCCTTCCCACCTGCATGGCCATATCCTAAGTCCCTTCTCATCTGCAACAGCGAGGCTGCCGTCCAGCTCACAGAGAGCTGCTTAACCACCCCTGCTTCCTTGTCCCCACTCAGGCTGAGAACTACACAACTGCAGCCCACGGCAGGGGGCGGGACTCGACCCCGGTGAGAGCCCCAGAGCTGCTCGGGCCCTGCCGGCCCATCAACACCGTTCTCGCTTTCCAGGCCAAGGGCCCGCCTGCCTGTGGTGCTGGCCTCGAGGCTGGGTCACAGGGTTCTGGATGAGATGGTTTTCCTTCTACTCCTTCCTCATTTCTGCTTTAGCCACAAGGGCTCACTCTGTCGCCTGGGCCCCGGTGAGCAGCTACGGCGAGGGGGTGGCTCCATGCAGGTGGACACCGACCGTGCCTTGTCACCCTGATGGTCTCAGTGCCAAGCCGAGAGCCCACCGTCGGCAGGCTCAGTAAACAGTACTGAATGATATCACTAAGCCGCCGCCTCTGAAGACAGGCAGTGGGACTGAAGTCACCCCAACAATATGGGTGACTCCCAGCTATGTGTCATCAACATGCTCCCCAAAATAAACATGACCACACCTCTGTCCTTTGGGGGTTCATCTGCTGCTCTGAGGAGCTAATCTTTAGCTCCTCTCTAAAAGTCAAATACCCCACACGGGCAGGACACCATGTTAATTTTAACCTATGAAACTCTCATGGTTGGTCACCCTTGCAGCAGGGCTGGCTCTGCCCCGACAGCACACATCTGGCAGGTGGCCCTCAGCACAGAGATGAGGCCGGCAGGTCCCGCCCTCCCAGCCAGGTGTCTCTACCCACAGCTGAACGACCAGGGCAAAAACAGAACCCTCGAATCCAGAAATGACCCATCTGTTCACAAGTGTCTCTTCTCACTTGACGAGAGGGGTACCCACCCCAAAGTCTGTGTGTCACCCCTTCTGAATATATTCATGAACTATTCATGTCAAGACCTTTCTGAATATATTCATGAACTATTCCAAAACCTATCTCCATGAAGTCCTTTTGAAGTGGAGTTCAATGATCAATTGAACAGAACCATCCTGGTGGCTCTTGCCTCTGGACCAGACTCGCCTGGAAGCTACACGAGCATTCCTGAGGGTAAACCACTCCCCAGGCAGCCCTCTGGACCTCTGGACGGCTGTGGCTGCCGGCGAGGCACTGGAAGGGCTGTTGAAAGAAATGTCAGCAGAGGTGCTTAGTGTTCCTGCCCAGCTTTGTGCCACAGGGGCCACCTCCCATGTCTTCTGAGTCACCCGTCCTTTGGCCCCACCAAGACCCCCCTCTTCTCCAGCACGATCCGTGTCCCCTACCTTCCCTGCCAGCAGTGCCCTGGCTTCCTGGACCATGCAGAGCCAGTTTTGTCCCTGAGCACACTCCTGCATGGAGGACCAGTGCCTCGGGGCAGGGATGGGGGCTTCCAGGTACCCACTCACAACACAATGTGAGAACAGGATGACAATAGCTTCATTAACTGCTACTTACTTACTGCAGAGATGCCCAGTCTCCAGCACTGAAAACAAGTTAGAAAGCAGCTTTCAAATCAATTACTCTGTCAAGTGCGTATCTCTGACATGTTAGACTTAAAAAAAAGGAAGACACATTTAAAAAACCATTTTTTTAACTGTCACACACACACACACACACAAACACACACACACCCATGGAAGAGCCACAAATGGAAAATCAAGTATCTAGACCCTGGCCTCAGTGCTGTGCATTCTTAAAAACTCTTGTAAACTCTGGGCTTTACTGCTCCCTTTCCTAAAAGGGAAATCTTGGCCCTGCTCCCCCGCCCCAGCTTTGCGGGGTGGGGGTGGGGTGTAAATTAAGTTCTTATTATGCAAAAAGAAAGAGAGAGACTCAAGAGGTTACCCTATTACAGAACAGTTTGGGAGTAATAGAAAATGCAAACTGAAGAAGAATAAAACAACGGAAAAAAATTTTAATACAATTTTCAAGTAGCAACAAGGAAAAATTAATTTTCATAAGATTTTCCAATAGAGTCAAGGAAAAATAAATTTTCATAAATTAAAAGCAGTCAATAAAATTTCATTAGTGTTCCAAGAATTAAATCAACTTTTTACATGGCAAATGTGAAAAAGCAGAAACTGGGTGGTTAGAAAAAAAACGTTCAAGTATGGAAATGTAACATTTTCAAATATTTTAAATGAGAATCATCATTCCAGACCACTGAAGGTTAGGGATTCCTCCCATGCAAAGTAGACAGGCATAAGAAGAAAGGCAGATGAAACTGCTTTGCAAGTGAAAGCAACACAGGCATGCCAGCTTGGGGAAATCCTGGCCACAGGGGAAGTCAGATCCTCCTCCCCTCTGAGCTCTTCCCCCTTACACGGGCTACCCTGCATCATGCAGGCGCCCCCTGCCCTTCACCAAGTCCTCTGTGGCCCAACTGGGAGGACAGCCAGAGGAAGGCCCAGCCAGGCTCCAGGGTGCCTGCCCTTAGCTGGCAAAGGCCGGTGGGGTCCCCACCCGGGACAGACTAGTGAGGCTCACCTGGCCAGTGGGCTTGGTCTGAGAGCAAGGCCATTACATGCTTTTAGCATCTGAAGGGAGGGCCTTTGTTTTTGCCCCAGCTTCGCACACCTGGTGTGTTCAGGCACGCATGTGTGAGGGCAGCGGTGGAGCAAGGAGGCTGTTTCTCTCAAACGCAGCTTCCTGTGAGCTGTAACCCACTGCACTGTCTAACCGTCTCGGACACAAACTTGGACAGTGAGGCCGGAGTCAGGAAGTGGGTTCCTCGGAGCATTTTCCTCCTGTGTCTTCTAGGGAACTGATTCTTTGAAGAAGTCATCAGAGACGGCTTAGGTCTGGAGCTAGAGGTCTGGGCTGAGAATTTCGTTTTTAACCAAATCAGTTCCTAAAGAAGATGACCTGCTACATAGCACACCAGAAGGAAGGAGGAGTTCACACCGGGGTCAGAGGGCAGGAAGGCACTTCTGCTCAGCAGGATTCTCGATTCACTCTCTGGGATTTATTTTACTCAAGGGGTAAAGTTTCCCTGCATATCCAGGAGGAGAGCTATCACAAGTTAGGCATACTAGGGTTTGTGCGGAGGTGAACTAAATCCTCAGTGATCATTTGCACACCAAATTGTTCAAGAGTTTATGCAGCACAGAAGTCCAGAACACCCCGTGTCAGGTCCTACAGGCAGATTGCAGAGAGCAGCAGGACAGAAATATTAACAATAGCATGGAGATACTGTTCTGCTAACAGGACGAGACGAGCTGACAGCACCCTCCCGACACCTTCAACCAAGGCAGAGCCTGGCCTTCAAAGGCCTCCCCGAGAACCTGGGTGCCTGTCAACACCCACAGACCTGTGCCCTGTAAGCCCCGAGTTTAAATTCTCACATCATCAGCCAGGAGAGCTCCCACTCCATGAACACCAGGCTCAGTTCTGGTCACCAACCTGCAGGGAGCAGAGGCCCCTCCTGGTCCAGCCACATGAACCGGTCAGTGCCGGTGAGTCTGTCCCCCCTGTGCTGCTCAGACCTCCTGCTGCAGCAAGTGGGGTTGACCAGCTCCCCCATGTCCACATGAGGCCTCGCTTCCTGGGGCTGCACCAACCTGAGAGGACACAGTGGGCAGGGCAGGGGGCAGCCTGGCCAAGCCCTCCGGGCACTGAGCTGTGGCTGGAGATGCTTCCTACTCAGACGCCTGCCACCCAGCGGGGCGCCGTCCGAACGCCCCCCCCACCACCACCCACCTTCCTGCCATCTCCTGGCTTCCTCCACCCCCAAGATGTGACACAACCAATCATGTCTTGGCATCTTGGTGTCCTCTTCCGGCAGATCCACACTAACAAGTTCCCGTCTTTCCTCCCCCAGGTCTGACGGTGTGCACGCTCTCATTTGCTGTGAGACTCTGGCTGGACCACCCCCCACAAGTGCTCCTTCCCCAGGGCTCTCGTTTGCTCATGGAAAGAACACATCTTCCTCCTGTGGCTCTTGGTGAAGGGTTAACGACCTTCACGTCTGTGCGAGAGGCTAGCACACGTACCCTCGGCCATGGGGAAGAAGCGGAATGACGTCAGTGACCTGATGTGGCATTAAATGTTCACTGCACCCCATGGCACTGCCAGCAGTTACTGGGCTTCCGTTAAGTCAAATATGTTGTCTGCAAGGAGCTGAGACGACACCGGACAGATAAGGGCTCCGGAGAATGCCGGAACAGCGAAGCCAGGGCACTCAGAGCAGCTCCTGCTCCCTGCCCTGTTCCGGCTTTCACACCCTCACGGAGGAATTCCCCCAACAGGCCTTGGAGATGGGGATGCTGTTGTCGCCATTTTGCAGATGAGAGGCCTGCGGCACAGAGCTCTCGGAGTACCCAAGGCCCCGCTCTTCATGCCTGCACGGCGTAGTGAGCTGAGGCGCGACCGTGTCACGGCCACCCTGCCTGTTCTGGACGTCAGGCTTCCCTGGGAAGGCATCCCCAGCCGCTCTCGGACGGAGGCTCCACACAAGCAGCTGCTGCCCACGGCTGGGAAAGCGGTTAGAGGGCACCAGCAGGCATCCTGGGCCTGCAGCGGGGTCTGTCCCAACAGGGGCCGGAGGTTCTCCAGGGCAGCAGGAAGGTGACGGGGCCTGTGTGGACGCCTCAGCAGCAGGGTGGCTGCGTTTTGCTCAATGGACACATTCTGCTTTGAATGGGTAACAATGCAGAAGGCCACAGTGCAGCCCACCATTCGCGGTGAGACCCAGAACATGAGGCCCAAGGACACCGAAGAGGCAGGGGGGCCGCGCCAGCACAGACGGGCCAGCCTGCGGGAGCCCTGCCACCTAAAACCCAGGCATCCGCTGGGCCTCAGGGAGCAGCAGACACCAGGGTTCGAGTCTTCTGTCCCAAAGGCGGCTCCCAGGTGTGACTGCCGCTGAATCCACACAGCCAGGTGTGGTCCTCGAAGACCACCGACAAAATCATGCACCTCCACTTTCCTCGGTTTTTCAGACATTGGGAAAGGCCAATAGTAAGGCCCAGCCCTCTCACCGTGTGGTCTCCCCCACCTAGCGGAGGGTGAAGAAAAGCAATCAGGATGCCGATCACAGCAGAGGCAGCAAAGCGCTCCACGGGTCACATGACCTGCGCTCCCTCCCACTCCAGCCCTTCCCGCAGCTTCCTCCCCTGCGTGCCACAGCACTCCTGGTCCCCGATCCCCATCAGCTTGTCACTGAGCAGCATACTCACTCATGCCTTCACTGGACCCCAAACCCACCCACACACCCCCTTAGGATCCACCAGCAACATGGCAGCCAGCGGGATCCTCCCAGCCGCAGGTGCGCGGCGGGCGCCCCGAGCACCTAGCTGGTTTCCTGTGCCCGCTAAGTGCGGGGTCTCCGAGTAGGGGAAGGAAGACTCTGTTCCCACCTTTCTCATTCCCCGGCCCTGTCCTCATTTCCAGGTGCTGCCCGAGGGGGCTCTGACTGTGACGGCTCCAGCCTCAGACTGTGATGGCTCCGGCTGGTCCGTGTGCCGGCCCAGCGCTGCCTGGCCCAAGGCTCTCAGTGAAGCCACTGACTTCCCCGACCTCTGTCAAAGGCGGCCACCACATGACATGGGCTCTGAGTTCCACGCTCACGCCAGCTAGCTGGTGCCACTCGGCTCCAGCCAGTTGGCAGGGTCTTAACGTCAAGGCGTTGACAGAGAGGCCATGTTCCCGAGCTCGGCCCAGCTCACACCCGTGCAAAGGGTCCGCGCTGCTCCGAACCGCCTGCGTCTCCGTAGCGCCCTGGCTCCCGGGCACCTCTCCCCTCTGTCCCCCTGCCCAGGCCCATACTAAGTCCCCTGAGTTGTCGTTTCTGCCCACACCCGCGGAGACCATGCTGCATCCCTGCTTCCCTCCAGAAACCTGACCTCAGGTGCTGCAGCCAGTCTGAGCTCACTCTGAACTGAAGGCTTGGAAGCACTTTCCTTGGCATCAGAGTTATTTTCAAGAACATGTTTTAACAGTAGCTTTGGGTTACTAATCCCTAAAGCCCAACTGGGAGCCAATGCCCAGGTTCGGGGCTTGGGCCGGGGCTTGTGCTGCTTGGCTGAGCACTGGCACTGTCTACCACCAGCTCTGTCGACCGCCATGTACCGGGGGAGAAAGATGCACGTCAGGCTGGAAGCGATCTGAACAGACCCCCTGGGGAACGTGGGGTTTCTTTCTCTACCAAGCTCAGCCCTTTTCTCATGATATCTCACACAAAAAACTATTTCCAAGGTGAGTTCCAGGTCGTCCCAAATGCAGCCTGAAGGAAACCGAAGAACCATCTACTTACAACCACACACGATAAAACACCATTTTATTGCCATTAGTGAATGGCTTTGGGCATAGCCTCTTTCAGGTACAGAAAATAAAGAGAAAGAGAGAATCGTTTTGTTCATAACTGCAACTCAAAGGGTGGAAATGCAGCTAACTGTCGCCAAGGCATAGCCCAGCATGCTCGGTAGCAAGCGCAGGAGTGACAGGAGCAGACCCCTCTGCCGTATTATCTGGCAGTCTGGAATGGGCGTCAACAAGGGTGACTAGAGGCCACCAGCTCTGGACCAAAGCCAAAGGCCAGCTCTGCAGCCCTCGGCGTACCACTCGCCCACACACAGAGTGTCGGACAGCAGGCAGACAAGGACCACACGCTCCACAGAGACACTGGGCTAGCCGCGGAGTGTCTTGTGCCTCTCATGGGAAAAGGTCCTGCACCCAGATGAGGCGTCTGGCCCCGCGGGTTCAGCTCAGGAGCTGCCTTCTGGGCAGGCCACAGGGGACACCACCTTGAACGTGTCGCTATCAATGCCTTGGTTTCAGCATCTAGCAAATGGGGCTGGAGGACAGACAGGCGTCTACACAGCAGTCTACACCCGCTGACGCTGAAAAGAGACGCCTGCGTCGCTCCAGGGTGCAAAAAGTGTCCTGCTCAGGTCGGTACGGCAGGACAACCCGCACCTTTTTTGGCGC